GTTCCTGGTCTTGATAGAGATGCAGAAGAACTTGGTCTACTTCCAGAGCAAAGAGCAGAAGAGGGAGGCTTTGAAGCTTCTCGATCTTGAAAACGTTCATGCCTTGTTCGATGATTTCATTCAAAGAGCTTCCAAATGTCTTCCGTCTTCTTCTTCCTCCGCATCGTCAACGCCCAAGCCTGTTGCTTACTCCAATGGTTCTGCTCCCACTTTCTCGAAGACGAAGACGCCTCCATCCGCCATTAACAACACTTCGTCATCGCTCAACTCTACTGCCACTGCTACTACCACTTCATCCACCTTGAACTTCTCCGAGAAAGTCAAGACTAAGGAATTGTTCACCCGCGATGACAGCTACGTGAAGCCCAAGTCTTCATTTAACACCGATAGAACTGGGTTTCCATCCACGCCTCAGATATTTGATTCCACTCTCAAGACTGGCAGCCTGGGTAAGTTTCATTCTCTGGCTTTCTAGGCTCTTCTTATTTACTAGGCTTTTACCGTTATGATTTCAATTCGCTTGTAGCTTTTACTGAACCATGCAGAAATTCACTTAATTTGAAGATTGAGTGAGTTTTGAATTTGTATAAGAGTATTCTGCTAATGTAGTTTTTGTTTATTTTATAAAATTTTGTAGGACAAGATGGTGAAAAATTGAGTCTAATAAAGCTTGCTAGTTTAATTGAAGTCTCATCAAAGAAAGGAACACGGGATCTCAATCTTCAAAATAAGTTGATGGATCAAATTGAGTGGCTTCCTGATTCTATAGGAAAATTGTCTAGTCTGATTACCCTTGATTTGTCTGAGAATCGGATTTTGGCCTTACCCGACTCCATTGGAAGCCTTTCATCACTGGTGAAGTTGGATTTGCATTCAAACAGAATTTCTGAGCTTCCTGAATCTATAGGAAATCTCCTAAGCTTGGTCTATCTGGATCTCAGAGGAAACCAATTGTCCTCTTTGCCTCACACATTTGGTCGGTTGGTTCGGCTTGAGGAGCTTGATTTGAGCTCAAATAATCTTTCTTTGATCCCTGAGACAATTGGCTCCCTTATTAGCCTCAAGAAATTGAATGTGGAGACAAACGATATCGAAGAAATTCCCCATACTATTGGTCAGTGTTCTTCGCTTAAGGAGCTTCGTGCAGATTATAACCGGCTTAAGGCCCTTCCAGAAGCTGTTGGGAAGATAGAGAGCCTAGAGGTTCTGTCCGTGCGCTATAATAATATCAAACAATTACCAACAACAATGTCATCTTTGTCAAACTTGAGAGAGCTTGATGTGAGCTTCAATGAGCTTGAATCGGTTCCTGAGAGCTTATGTTTTGCCACAACGCTTGTTAAGATGAACATAGGAAACAATTTTGCCGATCTGCAGTTTCTGCCAAGGTCTATTGGGAACCTTGAGATGCTTGAAGAGTTGGATATTAGCAATAACCAAATCCGTGTGCTTCCTGATTCTTTTAGGATGCTAACAAGATTATGTGTCCTACGTGTGGAAGAAAATCCATTGGAGGTGCCTCCTAGACATATAGCTGAAATGGGTGCACAGGTATAGTCAGTGTTATTTCCATGCAAATCTAAGATGTTCTCTTTTTCAGTGCTTAACTGATGGTTTCTTTGATCCTTCAGGCTGTTGTTCAATACATGGCTGAGCTTGTTGAAAAGAGGAATGTTAAGTTACTACCCAGTAAGAAGAAAAAGAGTTGGGCTCAGATGTGCTTCTTTTCGAGATCTAACAAGAGGAAGCGTAGTAGCATGGACTATGTGAAATCCTGATTAATGATGCTGAGAAATGACAGCCTCCTTTATTTGAGTAAGTTGTTGAGTTTCTTGCCTGCTGGATCTGTTTATAGGTAGTAAACAGTGTGAAACATATGCCGGTATGAATAGATGGTAGAAACTCTGTGCTTATTTGGGAAGGAGGATGAAGGGTAGGAATGAAAACAAACCACATAATCAAATTAAATCAATGATAACCGTGCTGGTCTAGTGAAGTGTTGGCTCTAATTATGATTCGGTTTTCTTTATTCATTTGCAGGTTTCAGGGGTAATCAGCTAAATGAGAACAGAGATCTTTGAGTCACCAATCCTATACTTGCAAAACGTGGAGTTAGCACCAAGAACACAAGCCACAGCCCTGAAAATTTACTGCACAATTTGTAAATTTCCTCAGTAACTTTTACCTTTTTAATTAGTTACATTCTATTACTAATCTTTCAATTGTATTTCATCATGTGTTTCTGCTGTACTTGCATTGTAATGAGTGTATAATCCTGACAGCGGATAGGAGGGGGAAGAAAAGGTTGAAGACTGATCACTGTTGTAAAGGGGAGTCTGA